CGGAAAGGATCCCAATACGGCTGGTGTTTCATCCACCTTGGATGGTTTGAATCCATCTTTGATCCTTGAGATTGCAGAATTCAGAATGATCAACGTGGAAAGGGTATCACAGCGACAGGAAGACGATATCATACGCCGACCTTTCTACGCTCAACTTGTTGGACCATCTGCTGCACCACCCAGCGAGCACACAGATACCCCGTCCAGTTCAACACAAAAAATCGGCATTTCCCATCGACTCCCTAGGTGGAGCAGGAGTTGTACCGCGTCAGGAGTTTTCGACATGTAGGGGTCGCCTGCACAGCCATCCTTTTTGTTTCCACTTCCCACCACACAAGAGATCTATCTCAACCCTTGCTGGGGTCGTTCTAGAATGGTTCAATCCGATTCACTCTGGAAGGGATTGGATCTGGAAACCTGCTTGCTGGATGTTCTTTCTTTCCAGATCTGAAAAGCCCCAAGGCTCATGTGGTGGTTTTGTCCAAGCCTCGGCTAGAGTTTCGATCGATTCCAAGTGAGAACCTGATCAGTGCAACTCTAGTCCGGCACCTTTCTACCTGACAAGTTCACCAAAAAGGCATGCTCCAAAAAATATGAGCCTGGCCAGCCTCGCACCAAATGGCCTCAGATCTCAGTTCCTCCTCTTCGTAGGAACCCGGCCATTCCTCACCCCAGCATGGGTGGTCGAGGCCATTTGGTGGAGCTGCTGAACGAGTCGGGCCTGGTTCTTTGGAGCCAGACGGTGTCCTCGGAGGAAGACGTGGGACTCTTCGACCAAGCCAGAAGCCACTAGGCGCTCGCTGTCATTGGCTTGATTTGTTCAAAAAGGACGCCACGAAATCTGCACTTCATCTCCGACACCTGACACCCGCGCCTGCCACGAAATCAATATTTAAGGTGAACTCCCCGGTGCAAAAACTTCTAACCAACCAAATATGCCTCCTGTGCTAGTTCTCTTTCTCTTTGCTGTTTCTCTGCTAACTGCACCAAACTGTTGTGATAGGTAGGAATTTCTCTGACACCTACACTATTCCAATGTATTTTGCCAGCTACGACAGCTCCCAAATTAAACAACTAGCAATTAATATGAAACCTGCACTATTCTAATGTATTGGGCCAGCTACGACACCTGTGTCTCTGCTAAGGACACAAAATTGCTCTAATTAGCTAGGTACTACTGTAATGAGAACCCCGCTCTATCCCAATGCGTTGGAAAAAAAAATCCGAAACAATGAAATAACATCACAAATTAACATTAAACGTGCACCCTTACTTTACGACCTCGTTATGGCCTTGCAAACCAGCTTGGGCTGAGGTTGTCGACAGCGATGGATCAACGAGGACTTCCTAAGCCTCAAGGCACACTTGAGTTTGGGCCTTGACCCAGAGATTGTCGGCATGGTCAAGGTGCGGTGGGGCATGGAGGGCCGTGGGGTGTTCTGGGCAGGAGGAAGTTGCGCCATTGGCCGAGATTGGGTCAAAGGATGCCAACAAGATCGCTCCCTCAAACATTATAGCGCAGAGGTTGCTATCCCCTTGAACCTTGTTCGAGGAGAATCAGTCATAGAAGTGAGTTCCCATCGTGAAACCGACGCGTGCGCGCACGTGAAAGGACATTATATTCAATATACTTGATGTTACAGAGCTTTACAGACTGTTGTGAACCACCTCCAGGTTGCCTCATGGTTCCTGCACTGCAGGAAAGATTGCTTCAATCAGATCCGCCAAGCAATCACGTGGCACACTTCATCACTTCGTGTTTCCACGTGCGCGTTTCCTCCAGATGGATCTTATATTTAACCTGCAAGAGATCCTAAGCATCTCTGGGCTGCTTGTTCCTTCGGGAATGCAAAGCACTTGTTCGTGAAGTGATGATATGATATGAGTATGATATGGGAGCTTAATCATTGATGAAAAACGGAGGAAGTCCGAATTCGTTGATTGAGGCTGGTTGGGAAGCATCAATCCAGGGACTGAGGGTATCCTTTGCCAAACTGCGAAGCCCAGCCAAACTAGATTGAATTTTGGACAACTCCTTGCAGAAACCACTGAAGCCACCACTTGCGAGTTGACCGCCCGTTTTGTGTCGAAGTGAACGCCTCTACCGTATCGAAATTCTGATTATCGGTTTCTTGGGCGTGTCAACACCCGAGCACAGAAGAAAGGGTTCTGTATAGAAGAAAGATGAAAGGCTCGGATGATGTCGGATGTTCAAAGGATTGTGGAAGGCATTGCAGATTTAATGACAGGTTCCACCTTGTTTTACCCAGTTTTGCCTTCCCAATTTTTGCCAAGTGTCTACCTTCAATCCACTCAAAAAATGCTGAAAGAAACCTGCCAACCTGCCAACCTGCGTCCAGGGCGGGGTGTGGGAGACGCCCAACCTGCTCGAGGCCTTTGCTGTGCGCACCGGCGGCCGGCTGTTGGCCGCGTGCTCGTTGGGGCTGGACCTCACCGTGGCCGCGCTGTGCGAGCAGATCGCAGGAGCGGGAACGGAGCAGATTGCACGGAGAATCCCACCACCAAGACCACAAGGAGTGGAGACTCTTGATTGAAACCCCCGCCTGTGGATTGAAGAAGATCTTCATGATATTTCATGAAGGGGGGGGTTATTCATAGGTGCTGCCAGTTCCATACCCTCGCCCATGGGCTGCAGGCCCATCGGGTCAGAATCCCGTGAGAGGCCATGCTTCTAGAAGTTGCTTCATGTTGCTTCTATATAACTTAACTGGCAGCCGGGCCTAGTCCGTGTTGAGACACCTGGTTTTGTGATCTTTTGCTTTTGACCCAGCTGTGCCTGGTCTCTCCATGGTCCATCGCTGTTTTTTGTTAAACACATGCTATGTTTGTGTTTATTGCTACTGTGTTTAAGATTTAAGATTTTACTACTAATTTCAACTTAATGTTATTCATTTTAAAAAAATATATGCTGCATTTTTTCAATATGTTTGTTTTTTGAAATGTCTAAGTACATATAGTACATTTGCGCAAGGGTCAAGACATGCGATGATGACTTTAATAGGGCAGCCGCCTTGAGGTATCATAAACCATCAAAACACATGTGAGTAACGATGCCACCCTTGAAGAGGCGATACCAACAGCGCTGTGTGAACCGCAGTCGGTTTCCTTGCCCAAGGATCGATAGATACCTAGCTTGGATTAATCAGATTGGATGGGATTGTATTAGATCGGATAGAAAATTGGGAAGATAGATGACAGATGACATCCTTGACTTTTCCAAGTTGTTTGCACTTTGCACACTGCCAGACTACTTCTACTACTTACTACTTACTACTTACTACTTACTACTACTTACTACTTACTACTTACTACCTGCTACCTACTACCTACTACCTTACTACTACTACCTTACTACTACCCTACTACTACTACCTTACTACTACTACTACTACTACTACTACTACTACTACTACTACCACCTTACTACTACTACCACCTTACTACTACTACTATACTACTACTACTATACTACTACTACTATACTACTACTACTACTACTACTACTACTACTACTCCTACTCCTACTCCTACTCCTACTGCTACTGCTACTGCTACTGCTACTGCTACTACTACTACTACCACCACCACCACCACCACCAAACGGCGAACCAAAAAAGTGGCTGGCGCTGTGTGTAGCGATGCGGCGGTACCCATGACCTTACCACACAGAAGGAGTTTTGACCGTCGCACATTGTGATATAGGGTACATTTACTACTCAGGACAGCGCGTTGTCTAACTTAACTTTGGGGTACGTTACATTTACTAATCAGAGGTCAACATTATATTGAGGTGGTTTCAAGGGTCAATGTGACATACATTCCAGTTCCATGGAGTGGAACTTGGGATTGAATGAAAACATCTCAGGCTCTTCCCCAACCGCCTGGCAAAATTCACCTGAGGACTCTAAGGACCCCGTTGATGACCACGAGTTTTGGGCGACAGTTTCACAAGACAGACCATCAACTGCAGGTTTTTCAGCGACGTCACATCGTCAGGACTCACAAACATTGAAGCCCATCGCTTTCGTTTGATGTTGGCAGACGGCCGGATCCTGCGACTGAGTGGCGGCGACGTGCCGCTGCGGAGCCTTTTACCGGAGGCCAAGGAGGGAGAGGCTCCGCCAGTGGAAGCGGTGGACAACGGAAACGGAAACGAGGTTTAAGCGATCACAACGATTGCTGGAAAGGGCTTAAGCCACAGGTTCAAACAGGTTTGAACTGAAGTGGTCAACGACCCTCCAGTGGTTGGAACCTTTGGGTTGGTTTTCAACAGTTTTTGGCGACTTGGCCATCCGAAGGATGAGCCTTGAGGGTGCTCCAAAGTGAGCTGCACGGCAGCTAATTGTGCTTCCAGGTGCTTCAAAAAGAGTTCATGGGCCCAGGGCATGGCATAGGGCCTCAAAGCAGCACCGAACGGTGTCAGTCAGTGGATAACCTTTGCCCTTTTTGAGGATTTCTCACGTATAGGCCGTATAGGCGTAGCAGTTTCCCCACGAAAAAACAACAGGCACTACAAGTCCGTCTCACCTCGGTGCATTTGTTCTAGGCCAGGTGGCTCGGTGAAGTCACCTGACTCCGCTTGGGGACCGGAAGGTTGGGTCGTCACCGCATAGCCAGGGCTCCCGAGCCGAGGGTATCCACTTGGGATCGGTCGAAGCGGTCGAAGTGAGAGTGCCATTCTGGGCCAGGTTTGAACATGTTTGAAGTTCCAAGTCGTTGTGTCGTGTCATAGATCTTTTTGGGTAGAATATTCGAGAAGGGGCGTTCGTGTGGATAAGTGCACCCTGAACACACGTGCAAAAACAACAAAAACACATGCTCGAGAAAGTCCTCACTTTCCAGGATCTCACTGGTGGATGGTGATGTGGTTGGAACTTGGGGAGGGAGCAGTGACTCATTTGGTAGAGGAAGATGAGGAAGTCCTCATCTTCCAACTACTAAAGCAAGGAGCAAACTGTTTGTTGCGGGCCACAGCTGAGGCCTTGGTTCAAATTCCTTTGGCTGGCTCAGCAGATACCAAGGCAGTGGTCTTGGCCGGACAGATGGGTAGACGGTGATCAATTGGCTTCTATGTCATCCTCAGACCATAGCACATTTTTCCCAATGGAAGACTGTCCCTACTCCCTACAAGGTTGTTTCATGTCCATTTGACAAAAGACTCCTCTTAATAGTTGGATTTTTCAGATCAAACACTCTGCACTGCTTCAGAAAGGCCAGGCCCAGATGCCGATGGCAGAATCATCCCAAAGACTACGCACGCGAAAAATGTCGCACGCAAACAAAGCCACTCTTCTCGAAATGGAGCACCTTCCCACGCGAAGAATGTCGCGAGTGGTTCTTTGGATTCACAATGATTCAGACTGCGGAGCAACCCATCTCTTTGCATCTCTTTGCTTGCCGTCCTCTTTGCTTCCCCAACTTTCACGGACGGCAGGTCTCCCAATTGGCGGAGCGTGTCTCAGTGCTGGTGGCCTCGATGCAGAAGCGCTGCGACGAGGATAAGGAGGCGGGGCACGAGTGCCCTGTAAGCGGCGGTGTTGGAACGCCGGTCTGGTTGGGTTTTAAGGAGGTATCAACCGTTTGTGCACGGAGTTGCATCTTTTTTGGTTGTGCTGTGGAGCCAAAGAACATCGGACCATGTAGCGCAGGGAGTTTCTGCACCGCTTAAGTACAGCGTTGCTTTGGAAGATCTTCTCATGTACAATCTGTTCTATGCTCAGAGACCATTAGGGGGCCAGGACGAGGGTGGAGCTCACATACACAGCCAACTTTGGAGTCTTTTTGGATCTTTTTGGTTGCTCGTCTAGTAGCTTCTTGTTACTTGTAGCTACTTGCTCCCAGTCAGCCATATCCCAACCTTCAGCTCGTCACCGAGCTCACTCCGAGCTGCCGGGCGGAGCTCGCTCGCGAGCGGTCGATCTGAGCTCCGCTCCGCGGCGGCAGGAGCTGGAGCAACAGATGGAGAAGATCCACGCCCGTCTGGTGGGATTCCGTCCCAAAAACGGATTTGGGTGGGCCGGGCTTTTAATTTTTTGCGGTCACGAGGTGGGTCGCACATGTGAGGATCGGACCACGTTTTTCTTTGGGTCGGTCCCCTCCGTTCAAAACGGAAAGAGGTAACCCGGGGGCAGACCATCCCCTGACCATCCCCAAGATTCCCCGAGAGGTCCCACAGGACCTCGGTGGAACCCCTTCATCAGTCACCGACGGTGCTTCATAGAAGTCACCGACCGTTGTGGGTATTACACTCCAACTCAGACTCATATGGAAGTGGAACACCCACTGTTTGTAGAGGAAAGTAGTCTTCCAAGCGGCCATGACATCCACTTCCATGTGTTTGTCAGAGTGTATTTGCTCACGAGGTCTGGGTCCATTTGACCTGGGAGGAAACAGTTGGGATCTTCGGGGTATTTCGTTGTGGCAACCCGGAGCCACCGTGGCAAGGGACCCCCGGGATGACACTGGTCTCTTTTTGCAGGTTTTAAACATGCAGACAGTGTTATATCCTCGAAACGCCGCCTGGTACAGAAGGGGGGTTGTGCACCAAAGGGACATCGAACTTCACAAATCTCACACGGGAAGCCTCATTAGGACTACTGTACGAACTCAACGAGACAAGCAGGACCCGAGTCATCCGAATATTTGGATGGAGCAGACACCCCAAAAGACTACTCTACCTCTACCCAATCGACACCGGGCCCAAAATTCGTTGGGAAGCAAAAAGGAGAGATTCGAACTTGCCACGGTGGCCAGGGGGGACTTTCAACCCGGTTTCCCCCCAAACCATGGCGCACCGGCCGCGTCAGGAGGCCCGGCTGGGAGCGTTGGAGCGTGGTGAGGAGCAGCATTTTCCCATTGAGTCCATCCGAACGGGCACCCGGGGACATACAAAGAGTGGTCAACGGTTTGTGGCCTGACCCGCTTTCGTTTGTGGCTTAACCATCTTGCAGGTTGAAGTGAAACAATGAACAGACAGGGACAATTGAAACATGTCAACCTATAAAGCCTGCATGATGGAAAGCGTTTCTGGATGTCTGTGGAAACCTTAGTGGACGTTTTAAAGTCCATGGAATTTGGTCCGCCGCAGAGTGGTGGAAGGAGATCACTACGCAAGGGACGTTGGCGGGTCCTTCGCGGTTCGCGTGGTGGCGGAAAGTAGCGACCCTTCTGCTTTGAGTGCATGCCCAGCTTACTGATTGAATGGGTAGTGGATTCATGATATGTTTATTTTCAACTGCTTGGGATGCATTTTTCCCGCTGATATGTTTCGTGAGTTGAAACCACCTTACCCTGTCAAGAAAAAGAACCATGAACAGAACACCATGAACACCTGTGCTGGTGGAAGTTCGAGCGAGCCATTTTCGGGCTAGGACGGCTCGCTGGGTCGCGAAGCCACGTGGCTACGCGAGGCCGGAGCCGTGGTTTCCATGCGTGTGACTCGTGTTGCTTACGAGCAATGTAGATGGTTCTAGATGATTTTAGTGTAGGGTTCCCTAATTTTCCTAGTGATCTGACTGATTTGTACCTTTAGGAGTCCACATTTTTGACGAATTGTCTTTGTCTCCTGAACTGAACCACTGGTCGTTGTTCATCTTCGTCAAGCGCTTCCCTTGGATACTGCGACTTCGAGCAGATCCTAAAACAGCTGTTCTGCTCTGAGCCAGCCATTGAACAAGATCATGAGGGGTTGCACCTGAGATGCACCATGCCATTTGTCATCATTTTATAGGTGGCCGGTACCCAAGTATGGTATCCATCATCAGCTGAATCTTTTGAAGCTGAAAAAGGCAATGGTATGGTATGGTACCCCCAGATATGGTATGGTATGGTACCCAAGACACCATGATGGTACCCAAGTATGGTATGGTACCCCCCAGACACCTCATCTTCCCCTCCAGATCGTGTCGGCGCCGCGACCAGGCCAGAGGAATGGTCAGCGCCGCCTTGACTGAGGCGGTTGTGTCCCCGGGGTGGTGGCTCTGTGAGAACATCAGGATTCAATTCTGTGATATATACAAACCTATCAAAGATATTACTGAATATTACAAAACATATCAACACATGATAACAAATTGATATTTAACACATATTAATATTGATTGATGTTCTTTGGATGCCTTTTGTGACCTTTGGAGTCGTTGTTCTTCGGGATACTGCGACGTCTTTGGTTCCTTACGATGAGTTCCTTACGACATGATGACACATCTGAGGTTTCATGCACGGCTGGGCGGCTGGGCGGCTAGTATGCCAGCCTGCTTGGCTCCTGGCCAATTCTGGTTGATTGGTTGAATGTGGTAACACTTTGTTGAGCGAACTCTTGCACAACCTACATGATGTCCAGTTTGATTGCCTTCTCGAGACGCATCAGCGGCTGGTGCCGCAAACCACGAGTAAACACACTGAACATCTCTGAACCATCATGTTTTTGGAAGTTGTACTGAACTTTCGGAAAAAAATCCCCAGACGAATGGATCTCTACGTAGGATTTCCTCTTGAGCACTTGCTGCGAGGCACAGGCGCAATGGCGCCAAGAGTTCGCACAGCTCAAAGGTGAGCAGCAGCAACAACTGGAGTTGCTTGAGGACGCTTCATGCGAGTGAAGGATACTCGATCCAAGAAAGTAGGTGGCACCTATGTACTACTGTTTGCAAGAAGGAGAACAGCCCAGCAATCCCAAAACACCCGTGGTACAAATTCGACCGCGGTCCAAACCACAGCGTCCTTCGGAGCCGCTGTGAAAACCCGAAGCAACTGCTACGAGTGGACTGATCAATCAATCTCTCCCATTGAGAAACGGAGGCCTCCATCGGCGTCCATCGGCTTTCTGCGTCCTCTTGCTTCGCGTCCACAGCCGTCCACGGGACCCGGACGCGTCCACCGGGCTTCTCGTCCCTCCACGGGACCCGGATCGGTCAGTCTTTCGGGGGACTCGACGCGACGCGTCCGGTGTTCCGGGCGATGGGTCCTTCGCGCCGCGGCCGCGTGCTTGGGTGCTAAGAGTCGAGCACAGCGAATAGGATAAGACATGACAAGACCTCTTAAGATAGCACCGCTTTCATAGATGATGGGTCGTGTTGTTACGGGGATCGGTCCTGACATGCAGGGAGAGGTTTGGGGAAGGAGATAGAAGGAGGTTCTTTACCCCTTTTTAGGAGACAAACCTGTTCAGTGCACTTTGGGAGGGAGGAACTCGGATGAGATATTTTAGAAGGAAGATGACTCATGACTGCGGAGCAAAAACCACCAGAATCAGGTTTAAGTTCTATGAGAGCTGCAGAACAACACCGAACCACCAGCTGCTGTTTTAGAAAAAACTCAGTAGTAGTGTTACAGTGCACCCAACGGCATTCAGAAAGTGTTCTAAAAAACGCTTCCATTCTCATGGTGGAGGGGAGATTCTCAGCTACCTGAGAGAATCTCCGCTCATTTCTGATGTTCGTTTTTGATTGTTTTGGGTGATTATTCCAGGTCGGAGTTGCGAGCTTGTTTGTCAGCGTGGCGTGTGGAGGACTTGGCGGGTGTGTCTCGACACAGCGGCACCCGCCTGGAAAAGGCGCGGAGGGATTTCAGAAATTCGTCCTGTGCGTATCTACAAAGTAGTAGTTGCATGTTTCTACGGATTCTTTTGGGGTCCAAAATTCATCAAAATTCTACAGCCTACAGTGCCTACAGTACAGCCTAGTTTTGTCTAACCCGATGGCATTTGAGTTCTGCACTGGGACCATTAATTTGAGCTTCTTTATGTTGGAGAAAGAGTCAGAAAAAGTAGTAATTAGTGACATGTAGTGACTGGAACATGGGCGGAGGAAGTTGTTCAGAAGCTGTTCTTTTGCTTGAACAAACATGCAGTTGATTCAGTTGATGTGAGAGCTTTGTGTGGTGCTACGAACGTCTATCGCGTACCCAACACCCACAACCGTGGCCAGGTCGAACGTGGTTTGGCAGCACACGAGCAGCTGGGCTTCATGAACTTTTTGTTGAGATGTGGTGAACTCGGACATGCTTAACAGAATAGAGAATCCCGTCCCCCCAAACGGGTTTGTATTTTAATGGGGGACCTCCGAACGAATGGATTTCCTAACTATATATACAACAATACAATAATATAGCTTGTTTTGTATTTTCCCAGAGGTCTTTGAATGGGTCTCCACCCAAATATGCGAGTTCACATATATAGTTTGACAACCCAATGCTTTCCCCTTTGAGGTTTTGTCTCCCACAATTGGATGTTACGATACGCAGAGACACGGTCAACCATGGTGCACCGATCAACATGGTGTTCTGTGGTGGCTCCGCTCCACAGGCGCACCATTCGACGTGCTGAAGAACATTTAAAGGCGAAGACAGCAGATGGTTTGGACCAAGGATCACTGGCCGAACGCTGAACGGGCACCAATCCAGCCAGGGGTATGTATACGGGATGGCATGTTGGCCGATAAACCTGACCCCCAGGCAATAGCAAGCCGAAGCAGGTGGGGGTAAGAGCCAGCAGGCTCGAAGTCTATGGTCCAAACTTCAGGCTTCTCAAACCCTCATTGACCCTCATCCCTTCTCTCACTGATGTTCAGATCTACCCACTGACAGAGGAGTTGCAATGGCTGCTTGCTGCAAAAGCCAAACATTCTTGCAATCGGTCACATAGAGCTTACAACACCTACGACATAGACAGCAAGTTCCACACTAAGACGGCTAAGGTTTTTACCAACGGGTTTTCTTTGTAAAGACTTACTTGGGCGTCGCGTCGTGTCATGAGGGTTTACATGGGACTCATGGGGACTTACTTCCCTGGTGTGACTTCGGCGTATCTGTGCCTCTGTGCCATGCAGTGATGTGACGACTCGAAAGCCCAGTGATGTGACTTAAACCCAACTGGCTTGAATCTTCCAATGCTTGGACCTTGACCTTCAAATGCTTGGACCTTCATGGCACTGACTTCGGACCAGGCACTCACCCACCATGGCCCGCAGTACAGCCAACTGGAAGGCGCTTTCCGGCGATGGCGCGGGCGCTCCAGGAACCCCTAGAAGAACCTAGTAGCTTCTTGCTCCGTTCGTAGCGATGCCAGGAACCCCTAGTAGCTTCTAGTTACGAACGTAGTAAGAATTCTCCCTTCGTAGCGATGCCAGGAGCCCCGTTCGTTTTGTCCGAACGCTCCGTTCGTAGTAAGGCCAGGTTCGCCCCGTTCGTAGCGCACATGGCGGCCATGGCGGCCCAGTTCCTGAAAGTAGGCAAAAGTCCATGGACGACGTTCATGCGTCACCGGTTTTCATGGGGTCTTCCGTGGTTCCTCGGACCCAGGGATCGGAGGGACCGGGCGGACCGGAGACGATGGAGACATTCGCAAGGTGATGTGACAGTGACGATGGAGATTGATCCGCATGGTTTGCAAAATATGTGTCTTCCCATGCGGGTCCGATGTGGAAGCAGAAAAACCGGTGAAGCCGGGTTGCCTTTTGAATCACAGCCCTCACGACCGTGGGATGCATGCCGCTGGCCCGGCAGCATCCGATGTATTTTTGGAGGATCCACGGCTGAAGCACGGATGAAGGTCGTATTAGCGGGCTCTGTAGAATGTGGCAGCTGGGCAAGTGTTTCAGGAATACACTCCCTGGAAAAGACATGGAAGTGGAAAATGCCCTCTTGAAAGACACTTTTCCTCTACAAAACAGGTGTTTTTCAACATCCATCTTGGTTCAAGGAAGAGTCTTCAAACTTCTTCGCACGGTGGGCTCGCTGGCGCGCTGCATTCTTACAACTGCAGACCTGTGAAAGCATGTCAAACATAGGATTGACAAAAAAGCCTTAACCATTCCACCATGACTCAACGAATATGAACGCCGTGGCGCTTTCGGCCACTTGATCCGGTTTTTCAGGGCCGCTGCGTTTGAAGCAGTCATTGAACGAACTCTCAAGGGCCGACCTTGTTTCGATCTGCGGGAAACATGTACACTCCCGAGTCAACTCACAGAAACCCTGACAATGGTGGTCCCATGGAAGACGATTTTCCTCTACCAACCAGGGGTTGTCAGGTTCCATGGGATCGTCTTCCAGGGTGTATTGTGTTGACGTGTCCGTCTACATCCCAAAAGAACAGAAAACCAGATTGGCTGGGCTTGCCGGCTTGCCGCCCAGCCAGATTGGACTTATCGTGATTTGAAGTTGTTGGGTTCTGAGTGGTATTCAATGACTTACAGATTTATTCGCTGACGGGTTCCAAATCTGCTGTTTTCGGCTCCGGAGCCGGGCGTGGGTGTTTGTTTGCCAGGTGCCCTGTTGAACTTGGAGCGGCAGGTGAATGAGCAACAGGTGGCTGTTGAGGTGCCTCCCTGGTCGCGCTGGTCGGGGTGAGAGGATTGGCTATGTCCTCCCTCAAAGAACTCATAATATAGGTCCTATATATAATTGGGTACAGTCAGTCAGGGGCGAAACCCGAATGAACTGACAGAAACAGAATGGATACAACTTACTGTAGCTTTCTAAACAATATATATACATATATAGAAGCGGTCCAGGAGTCTGGGTGGAGGTCTGGACGGTTTTCCATCCATGGTCCAATGGCCTTTGGGACCCTTGGTTGGTGGATGAATAGAGGAAAGGGGATATCCTATCGACGTGAACAAGCCATATGATATGGTACCTGTGGTACCCTATGCACACCTCATGGCACCGTTTTGCAAAGGAGATCATGGCACTGTTTTCCTGGGAAGGGTGTGGGAAAGGATGTAGTAGCCTTTCAGAGGCTTCTATTATGCCACGGTCAGGCTCTTATACGGTTGGGGATGGGTCAAAACCTCGAGCCCACCCTGCTCCACCTGCTCCACCTGCTCATCCGCCACTGTCCGACCATTCCACTGTCCGACTGCCCGGCCGTAGCCTCTTTCAGGCCAGGGGCTACTAGATGCTAAAGCTTCTTGCTCCTAGTAGTAATGCCCTTAGTTCCTAGCAGCTAAGAATGCTACGTTCGCAATGCCAGATGGCTCCTACGTTCGCTTGCGAACCGATCGCTCAGTTCGGTTCTTGATGCCCTTGGCCGTCTCTCTCTCCCTGCATCTCCAGGTTCAAGTCGCTCGCCTCCAGGTCCGGGGGTGGATGGCGCTGGTCTGGGCGGGGCGGATGGCGCGGGGAAGATGGAACGTGCCGGTCTGGGCGGGGAGGTTCCCTTTGGAGCGGACGGGTCGGACCTGCGATGGAGTAATTATGTATGTAGTAGTGTCGTCGAAGGGCGCCCCGATAGCCATGGCCATCCAAGTGGCCAAATCGAGTTTCGTTGATAGTTTAGGACACACACGCACATCATTTGCAGCTCAGTTTGAAAGGGCGAAGTAAGCAGTCCTGACGCATCCATTGGTTTTTTCTCAGAGAATTGCTTGACGATTTCCCTGTGTCAGGTCAACCAAACAGGTCCAAGAGCTCGCTAACGGTGGCAAGATCCAATCCACACAAACAGGTCAGAAAGCTCCCTGAAGGTGGTAACATCCCTTCCAAACGAACTCATTCAACATCCCCTTCAATTATGTTAGTTAACTTTTTGTAACTTAATTAGTACAAGATAGTACAAGTATACAAGTATACAAGTACTTAGTTAACTTTCTTTTGGGGACCCCCGAAATGACCCACCCATGCCACGTCTTTGTGAGCCAAACCTGTTCCTTTCCGTGGCTCCCGAGCGAGCTCATCGACTGTGGCTCCTCCCAGGTGGAGTGCGATGGCCTCCGCCGCCGCTCAGAGGCCATCGCCCACACCCGCGAGGAACTCGTGGAGGCGGCTCGCCCGGGTGGAGAAGCGACGTGGCGGGGTGGGCAGGGAGGGAGCAGTGAAGCTGTTTCTCTTGGATTGTGTCATATCATCTGTAGAATTCTCCATATGATGGGTAGCTTTATTCATCAGTCTACATGACTCAGAAAGTGTCCAGAATCCTGCTTTGGTTTCTTGATGCTTCTTGGTGGGCTGGGTCTCCATCGGGTCTCTATCCTGTAGACTGAAGTGGAGATGGCAAAGAGTCAGAAGCATGCAATCATGTTCGACGTCCGGTCTTTAAAGCATGAGCTTCACCACAGAAGAGTGATGCCGCTGGGTTTGTGTTGGCTGCCAAATCTAGCAACCTTATCCCCCAGACAAAGAACATACTGTAGGGATACATATGGAGGCCTTTGCAGACCAGCATAGACCATCCATGTTTACCACATGTATCCACACAATTATTAATAAGTTAATAAGTTATACATTGGTTCCCAGATGATCCGGCTGCCATGTTAAGGCAGTTGAGGAGCGACTTGTGCTCCAGCTGCATTCGGCGTGAACGTGGGGATTCAAGGAGCTGGAGTATTTTGGTATAGACAGTCTAGACAACCATAGACTAATGAATGCTCACTCAACAACTGTTTGACGAGGGAATTTATTTGTGCTTTGGGCCTTCTATATACTTTTATTTTAAAAAGTTCAAGGCTTACGGTCGTTCTTCATTGCCAATGTTTGAACATGCGCATCTTTGCAGCGCGATAGAGAAATCCAATGGTCTATTGATTCTTACATCTTACTATTTCTTTGTTTTTTTGTTGGGATCACTATTTTGGAAAACCATTAAAATACAACCTTTCATATCGAATCAATGTACGACGTACAAGCCACAAAGGATATCAGTGTTCATGGTACTTGAGTCGGTTTCTGTCTTCGGTGACAGATCCCAACCATTAATCGACCAACTCAACTGGACTTCAGAACTGCCAGAACACCTGAGACATGCGCGAAACTTGTTCGATCAGTTTTCATGTGCCTGAAGGAGTCATTTTGGATTTTTGTTGGGCGAACTCTTCCATGAGGACGTAATGAGGGAGGAAGTAAGGGATTCCAAGTAGAAGTGTTTAGATTTTAGATGGCTACAAGAAAGAGTCATAGCTTTGGGTGCAGCCTCTCGATGGGCCAGCTGCTTTGCGCCTTTTCTGTCTCGCCTAGGCTAGGGCTACCGTGTCAGAGCCAAGGGCTGCACCCCGAGATGACAGGCGACCCACTTGAGTGATCCGGTTGGCTGAACCAGGCGGAGTAAGCTTAAGCAGAACTCTTTTCACTTCAACAACTTCAAAGGGTCTGCAGATGGGTCGGAGAGTGGTGGGATATTATGGTGGCCCTTTTGACATTCTTGGCACAAATGCAAAACAGACTTGCTTCAGTGCAAGACCCCTTGGATATCCTTTGATGCATGTATGATCATATATGCGTATGTACGTGTATCTATATGATTGTATAGGTGATTTGTGCCAAAAGGGGATGTGTAGTCCAACAGGGTGGCATCCATTTGGTTTCATCTAGCTTCCCATCATCCCGGTGGCTCTTTCTCTGTCCATGGAAGAACAGAGTCACAGGTCTGGACGTTTTTGCAAACAAAGTGGTGGGGATATGTGGGGATGTCACCCCAAAAGAGGGACCTCCAAGTCCAGGTCATGTATATAGATCCTTCTAGAAAGTTTAGGATGACAAAACCCTACCTACCAGAATGATTCTACATCTGCATAAGGGGGTTTTCTTCATCAAGAGTTAAGAGTCACTGGTGTTCTTATTTTTCTTCAAGTGACCCGAATTCGTCCCACCCTCGTCCGCACCCTTGTCCCCATTCCGGTCTCCAGTCGAGGTCGCCGGCCTCGTCCGGTCTCCGCCCGGTCTCCCACCAGTCGGCTGCTCCAGCGCTGCGACGACTTGGATGCGCGGTTGGCAGCGCAAAAGGTCCATGTGGAGGCGCGACGAGCGGCGACTGGACCCCCCCGGGCAGCGGAGACGGCGTCGATGTCCGGAGACGCGTCGAGGGGGAAGAACTGCAGGGGTAGGCCTTGATATACCTACTACCTCCGACTACCTTCTCTTTGTTTGATTGGACTAAGAACATAGGTGTTTTAGAACAAAACTGGTGTTTGGTATTCAACTATGTTACCAATCTGTACATGTAACCTTTTGACGCTCATTCTTGAGCGTCAGTCGACTCAGGACGATCATGCGCAGCATGGCTACTTCTACAAGTATGACATGCAAATCAAATCCAAAAAACAACATCTTTCACGACACACAGCCTCCACCCAAACCACCGGGCACTCTTTTCGATTCCAGCCCACCGCCGCACGTCCACTGGCTACGTCCTCGTCCATCTGGCAAGCCTACAGGGGTTGCAGGCAGTCTTCACGGCCTTTTTCTGGTCCTGGTGCCCTTTGGGTGATCTTTAGTTGTAGCATGTTGTAACAGCCAGGCGCCGATGGGTCGTGTTCCATGCTGAAGGAGAGTTGACAAGCGAAATCAAACAAACTACAAGCTGGAGGAAAGACGGTTTGGCACTTGAACAAAGTGCCAGGCCAACCCCGGCTTCTTGGGCTGTCTCACACGATCTCAGGGTCTTATAAACAGTAAGGACTCAGTAGGGAAATGAGCATCCATAGGTCGGGATTGGCTCATATTCAAACATTCATCATATCCACAAAGTGAAGAAGCTGCTGATTCACAGGAGTTCGGTTACATTCTGGCGCAACCCGATCGAGGTTCGGATGTCGGTGTGTGCCAAGACGGGTCTGGGAGTCCAGATCGTTCTGGATGTGAAGGAAGAAAGGGCCCACCGGAAAGATTTTCAAGAGCAAAAGGAACCACTCCCCACTTAGGGCCAGGGTTGTCTCCGTATTTTCATACAATCCCATATCAAGTTTGTCACCATAAAGCTGGATCTTGATCCAACACAAATCTGTATTTTCATACAATCCAGGGGCCTTGGGGATTTTGTGCCATTGAAACCAGTTTGGAGGATGGCCCTTTCATCCGCAGGCACATGAGCAGCGCTTCAAAAGCTTTGCAGAGCGCTTGGAGGCCACAGGGGGAAAGTCTTGAGAGGTTTGAATGCTACAAGTCTATGAAGATCAACGTACCAGCAGTCACAAAGGGGTGCTTGATGGAGGTGAGTGGTGCCCATTATCCACTCACTTGGGGACTAACCACTACCCCTTTGTGACTCCTGGTATCAAGATTGTTGAGATCTTTAATATGTATACGTGTGCTATGTGTGCATGAATGCAGCAACGACGGCTGGAGCAATCACCTTGACGACCTGTGGGTTTCCATGCATTTGAGCAGCAGACCCCAGTGCCGGGTCGTCTGTCAGGACCTTGTTGGAGGACTGGTTTGTCCTTTCAAACACCCTCAGCCAAACATCCGACGTGCTCACAATGGGCGCCAAACATCCAAAAGTCACAGCTTCTCATTGATCCAGGACATCCCGGCATTGTAGTTGTTTTCCAGTGGCCAGTCTTTACTTCAAAACTCCAAATAGGTCATTCAGACAGGCCTTTGGAGAGGGAAATTCTTCATGTCTCCCGGTCCGTAGTGTTCCTCAAGGAGGTGTGGGCCACATCCCCTAAACCTAGAGAACTTCTCTTCCCCAGCCACTTCTCTTCCCCAGTTTCAGCAACTTTCAATAACTTTCATGTATAGTTCTTGCTTCCCCTCCCTGCCAAACAGAACTATAACCATTTTCCACCCACCTTCTGATCTAAGGGGAACCTCAGCACTCTCACCATCCGATCCATCTCCATCTCCGTCCGAACGGTCAAACGGTCACTGTTCAATGTGACGGTCACCGTTCGGCCGCCCAGTCTCCAGTCTCCAATCGACCACGTTCTCCCAAAACAGCTGCGGAATCCAAAGCCCTGCTGCCACCACAGCGAGGTCGAGGGATGGAGCAGATGGAGGTCCCTGCTGCCCATTCGCTCGTTTTGGGAGGCGGTGCAGATGGAGCTCTTCGACCAGCTACGGAGCTTCGGGGTGCAACGTCGCGAGGAGCTGCTGCAGGAGGTGCGGCCCGCGCGCCAGCGCCCGTCGCACCTCCGGAGACGGGGCTCCATGGCTGGGTTCGACCACCGCTGCACTCGAGGCTCGAGCGAAGTACGAATGACTTTGGTGTTGCTTAAAACTGAGTGAATCCGTGAATTGTTGTGGGGAGTATGTGCAGCTGCTGTCCTCAAGTGGAAGGTAGTGGCGATTGGCAAATTCTTGGTCCCTTTCCCTGAGTGCGCATTCATGGCGAAGACACACACATTCTCTAGAGAAGTAATTATAAACACGTTGATTGATCTCTTTTCCTAAACATATATTACAGAATGGCTGTGCATCTGATTTTGCAGTGAACAAAAACAGGTGAAGCACATTCATAGTCATGTTCTAGAGCTTTCGTATTTCCCCATCCTCTCTGTACCAAATTGCGTGCCTGGTTCTTCCAGAATTCTTTTGGGACTGGAATGGTCCTCTATAAGAGGTTTTTATGTTTAAACTATTAATCCAAATCCCCTCTATAAAATGTTTTCCATGTTTTCAATCTACATGTATGGATCACAGGACATCTCCTCTATGAATTGTTTTTTGTGTTCTTAATTCCTGACCCAAAACATAAGGATCCTCAGAAAATCATGTTATAGAGGACCATTTTGAGCGTGCTTATCTTGGTTGTTAGCATGGTGCTCGACTGATGTTATCAGAGTCACACTCAATTTATAGAGTGCATGTTTCTTCGGTACCTCTTCATTCTATGGTGTTTCAGGTGGTGCCCGCCAAATTACATATATATCTATAAAATGACTGACACAACCCCTCCTAGTGAATGTTGATCGGGATGCATTAGTATATTAGGCTAGAAAGAAGATGAAAGAAGTACTGATGTCCCACTTGCATCCTGCTTGTATGGTTGAGCACCTTGCCATTGGGTACCCCATACCGAAAATGGCGTTACAGGTGGATGGGCAACTGCGTGTCCTCCGCGAGCGCATGGATACCTTGAGTGAGCTTTTGGACGAGATCATGCTTCGCCAGGCTCAGCGTGTCGATCAGATCGACGTCCAGTGTGCTCTGCGGGGGGACCGGAACGATGTTTTTTGCTGGACGGCAAGGGGCACCAAGCTGGGCACCCCCAAAACATCTTCCAGAACATGGTTACTGCAACAAATTTAATCATATGAAGGCTTTGGATTGGAGGCGCCACGGAATACTTTTTGTGCCTTTTTGTGAAATTATTGTTCGACCAAGAAGAACGTCAGCTCGTGTTGTACACCAATTGTTGCATCAGTCAATGATCGCGATGTGTTCTTTGTTCGGAACGAGAATGTTCGGTCGTTTCTGTGAGCAAAAAGCGAGTCCGGAGAACCATCAACTGGCGAACAATGCTGCCTGCAAGGTTTTTGCGACCAATCTGCAGTCTAGTATCCCAAGTCGTTTCATGACTTGAACCATGTTTTGAAGTGGAGTTTCCTTTCTTGGTGGTTCATTTTGGATCATGTTGGCTTTGGCTACTCCCCAAAACATCCCTAAACACTGAGCTTCCTTTGCGGATTGCAGGGGACTCCCCTTCATTCCCCTTCCGCGCAATCCGTTTCCGGTGCCAACCCTCCTTTATGCACTCGAAACGACAATGGACCCTGCATCATGGACAGGAGGAGGAAATGCGGTTCAGACGATCTGACCCCTTCATGTTGACGTCTCTAGATTGAATCCACTTGAATCCTCTTTTTCATTCTCCTTTCCTGGCGTTTTTGAAAGATCCTCCGTCCAGACTTGACTTGATGATATGACTCAATCCTCCACCCCCCTCAGGCCCCCTCCATCCTCCCCGGTCCTGGACCTTGTTGTGCCCGACCCACCGTGGTCGACCGACCTCAAGACAGCCTAGGGCCCTAGAGCCTCCAGGGATCTCCAGGGATCTCCAGGGCCTCGTGTTTGGGAAACCGACGCCCCGGGCCCCGCTGCCGACCTTCGAGGCTGTGGAGGGCCGAAAGGGCCCGAGACCTTGGAAGAGAAGAGGGGAGAGGGGCTTCCAGGTCAGTTCTTTTACGGGTATGGATATAGTGATTTGTTAGTGCTTGTTGATGTTTTTGGCATGGAAAAAACATAAGTTCGTTCTGGATGGGTATGGCATTTCTTCGTTGGGCATCGGGTATTTTGCATGGTGCTGGTTTCTTCCATGTTCTTCACCTTCGAATTCCTTTTGTTCTTGATTGACGCCTGATAGGTTGATGTGTTTTGTTTCTTGGATGTCTGGTGTGCCTTCTTTTGCTTTTTTGATTTGATTTCCATGAGATGTATTACAAATCGGTTCATGGATTAGCTGTATCCGTTGGAGGTCCTTGGCTGTCCCCGCGGGTGGACCGAATCTATGAGCCCCCGTTCTGCGACGGTTTCGTTCAGCACGCTTCTGTTCGATGGGGCGAACGGGCGCGGAGGCGGTGGATCAGGTTCGGATCATCGAAACGCCGATGATGCCCTAGGGCTCCAACCACCTCCTGAGAAGATGGTTGGGGTGGGTGCCAGGGGGGTCTAACAACCTTCTGAGGATATGGTTGCAGCCCTAGGGTTGGATCTCTTCCGTATTGCTCCCTGTCGGTGGTCGGTTTTGATCTCAGACCTGTCGACCTCTCGGGTTCGCCTGTGGCGGCCAGAGGAAAGGGGGCCATCGGCTTGTGAATTTCTTCACGTTGCTTCACTTACATTCGTGAAGGAGTAATTGGTGGATCGGTGAGAAGTACAGATTTGGACAGGTCCCGGTCCAGCGAGACGTCCAGACCAAGTGGACTCAGAGACGTCCAGACCTTCCATGGCGACAAACCTGTGGACCTCCAGTTGGGCTGTGGGTCGAAACCCGAAGCCTGAACCCCCTGTCTCGGTCACGAACGAAGACACTCTCAATAGATTTACGATTTACTGCATTGACTGATGTTGAAGATTTGGTTTTTAATATCATCGCGGTTCAAGACGCGATTTCAATGACCTGCTGCCTTTGTTGCAGCCAACATACCGATCCCACCCCATACTGTATGATATGCATGGTACATACCATTTATGGAAAGGGTCGGTTTCGGAGGGCACTTGAAAGAAGACAGTCAGCTTCACGAACATGTGCCATTCTGCAATCTAGCATGACATCATAGCCAGGGCCATAGCCATTGGACCAACCAAAAACCACCTAAGCAAGCCAACCAGCATGGCTGGCTTTTTGCTCCGTGCCATTGAGGTCACTTCGTGAGGCCTTTGCCCCGGTTGCACGAGGAACTTTGATGCCCAGCTGGGGACCAGCCATCCTGGTGTTTTGGCGGCGCCGCCCAGACTTGGGCCTCGAACTCGGTTCGGGCCCCCGAATCTAGACCGGCTCGGCTCGGTGTTTTTACCTATGTTTATGGGGCGATGGATGATCTTTTTGCAAACTCTGAACAAAAGAGTCCGTTTTTTAGAGGATCAAGCATTTGACGGCTTACAGTGTATACAGTATATCTCTTCAACTGTGGGATGCAAGAGATCTTCAGCTGGTGGCATTGCTGATGCCCAAGGCCTGGCGATGGCTCCCCAAGGAACCGTCGGACTGCAGAGGAAAGAGGATCAAACATATTCATATCCAAGGCTAATTACATCTAATGACCATATTAAAAACAATCAGGTTGGAGGTCATTGCTAGTAGGTTGGAGGCCATTGCTATATATGAGGTTCCTTTTGCCATTAGGTTACTAAAGATTGGGCCTCCTTTGCTGATGATGAGAGCCGAGAGATGCCGGACGCCATGCCATGACCCCTTTGCCATGCCAAAGTGCAGGAGTTCGACCCCCCCGGCTGCATGGCTTGTACATTGGAGAGCACACATTGGGAAGACCTTTGAGAGCTTCCCCAAATGAAGGACGACAAATCACCACTCTTTGATCAGGAGATACCTTGCCACATACGCCCATCTCTTCAGCCACTGTCACCTCTCGCCTTCTCTTGATTGATGTCACTCAACAGTGGTGATTTGGGGTCCTCAATGAGATCACACAGTGGATCGACAAATGCTACACTGCTACACTTCTTGGATCTTATTGGAATTGAACCATGCAGACTTGCTTCTTATAATGTCATACAAGGGTTTTGAATGCATTTTAAATTTTGGATTGTTTTGTAGAGCATTGATAAGCAATTGCCAGTGGTGCAAAAGTTTGCGATCAACTGTATTGGCCCAATGATTTTATCCCATGTGAAGGCACCAAGTCGGGCATCCTCACATGCTAATGCCCCACCCAACTGCAATGCCCCGCGATGGGCGACGAAAACGGTTTCCAGCGGCGGGTGACGGTGGAAGACGGATGCTTCTTTGCAAGCTTCTCTTGGTGTGCAACACTTGTTGAGATCGACACGGATGCTTTCCGAGTCGACCGGAAGGCCGGGGTAAGTAGCGGCTCGTGAAGACCAGGGCACCCACTTGCGGTCTCCACCCTTATCCGGTGGACAAGACGTGAGCGTCTCGCGGACATGGTCATGGTCTATCCTATCCTCTACAACCAGAGGATCATTTCCACTTCCATGGTCATGGTCATGGTCATGGTTTCCACTTCCATGTTAGTTCCAGGGAGTGTAATTCTTGGGCTGAGGCCTGCCTCAGTCTATCACATGGGCTGCGGCCTGAAGCAGCGGCCACGGCTTCGTAAGCCGCCGCCATGCCTCCGATGCAACACCCTCCCAGTTGTCAAAACCTCACATGGGTCGAACAATGCCCAGCTGATGGCTACTGTTTGTGCCGTTTTTGATGTCCAACATCCCTGGCTTGACAGGAAGAAGCGGGTCCAGAAGGCTTCAAGTATTTGCTCTCCATGAAGATGTGGTCTTTGACAGAGAACAAGGTGGAGGCGCATCCGGCTTGCAGAAGACTGAATAAGATTGAATAAGATGGGACGTTCCACAGTTCCACGCACTGCCAATCAAACATCGGGGGTGTCTTAGTGAACATCTCTCGGTAGAGGATGTTTCTTTTTTTGTTGTGACACACAAAAGCGTGGGCCGTTGCAAAGTGGCCATAGAAGGGTACTTTCTAAAGGTGACTGGGTCAGATATGTCATGTATACATGCCAATGTACCTTCTTTATAGGCATCCGATGGAGCGCATGCGGCAACGTCGTAACGCCTTCCTTATAGGCACCCTCCGCATAAATCTCCAGATTTGTCTCCAACTCGCACCTCCCTGGCCATTTGGACATTCGTAGAAGGTCAAAGGTCTCCCGCACAAAGGAACATAGAACACAACAAACACGATGAGCATTTCACTCCCGAAGCGTGGAGCTGAGAAGAACTTGCCACTTCTCGGAGATCAACTCGTGCCAGGTTCGACATGTTGACACCCGAAAGCATCCGCACGCCGGCGTGACCGGCCGACCAGCAGGAGTTGCGGGCACAGCATCAAAGCAAGTGCCAGGCATTAGAAGAGCTTCGAGGCCGTAGGGGTTGACAGCCAACGACGAAGACTTCGAACGTGCACGATCGTCGTGTGGGACAGGACTTTCCATACGAGTCAAGACCCTATGGGAGTCTCTATGGCGATGGATCGAACGCTGGGGTCGAAAGAACGTTTGTAAACGTTTGTCTTTTAATCGAACGCTTATGGAGTTTGCTGGAGGGTTTACTGGTTGGTTCGCTTACTCCTGGGCAAAGCAACATGAAAAGGCATCTGGCATATGGCGGTGGTTCCAAAGGTACTCTCATTGATGGTTCCATCTTCCACCCAAGACCCTCCTTTCCTCACCGAAAAAGATACCAAGAAACATCCTGAAACATCCTCACAGAATCTGTCCCAACGTCCCCTAAAGACGTCGTGCGTCGTGCTGACTCCTCCGCGTTTGGATGAATCGGATGCGGTGCTTGACACGGTACCCAGACGCTCCATGGGACTGCCATATATGCCGCATCAGGCCAGGGGTGACGTGGTGCCAGGGGGGGGTCTGTCTGGGGCGGCATATATGGCAGTCCCATGGAGTGTATGGGGTAGGCACCAGCATTGAAATGCTTTGGGAGAAGGATCTTCAACGTCCGGGCGCCACAGTAGGGTCGGGCTGCCGGAGTGTTATCTTTGGTAGGGCTGTCGGGACGTTGGCTGTCGGGGTGTTGAAAGTGGTGAGGGGAATCAATGAAACGAGGTAAAAGAAGTCAACAAAAACAATGGATCTACCTGACACGTCAAAAAGGAGAGAGTCTTGGGTCCCTGCTGTTGGTTTGTTGTACTTGCCGTTACTTGCCGCCCTCTGACACGACTGACTACTCGCAAGATCAGACGGCCTAGCGAAGGGATTTACAGTAGTCTAGGCGACCACCTCCCACACAAGAAAATTGTAAAACTGTATGATGGACCATGGACCGTGGACCTCGATCGACGGAGAGATCCCACACCTGATAATCTCTAAGCCCCGCGGTATGATAATTGACGATAGTGATACTTGACATGGCATCGTCCAGGGATAAATTTGATCAACTGTTGGAACCCTGAGTCGGCGAATCTTGCTGGAAGCTGGCGCTAGCATAGATGCTGCAGCACAAAATGATCAACATGGGCACACAGCTTTGATTGTGGCAGCTGTGAATGGTCGCTTGGAAGTGGTGCAAACTTTGCTAGAAGCTGGCACTGACATAGGTATTGCATCGCACAATGGTGCAATATAGCTTTGATTGCGGCAGCTCACACTGGTCACCAAGAAGTAGCCCAGCTGTTGGAGAGAAGACAATGAACCCAACTCTTTGATGTAACAATAGTTGCAACCTATCCAGCACCTTCCTTTCCGGGTCACCTTAGGGCTACCTTGCACTGACACTACTGGTGGATCTCCAGGAAGGGCACACCAACAGCAGGATCTAGGTAGGAGGGTCCGGGAACTAGAACTACGGCAGTGGCTTGGAGGTTGAACCAACGTGCTCCATTTACGTCGGGACCATGTCTTCGTTATGAGGCACGCGTTTCTTTGTGTTAATTACGACAAGAGATGCGAGGTTCACCAGTAAATTGTACTGTACACAAAATTATTTGCAACATTGGGTGAAGCTATCCCGGGTGAGGGGGTCTGGATGTCAAGTATATATATATATATATAAGATCTGAAATATCATTTTATAGAGAGCTGCGCGTGCGTGTCATGCAGCCCGCTGAATGCCCAATGAGAATAACTTTCACTACGTGCGCTACGTAAGCCAATCATAGCCAATCACATATTAGACAAGAATAGACAAGATATGATAAGATAAAAGTCAATATTCTCAGACACAGGGGATAAGATATCCAAGAATATTTCCACATGTGACAGATCTTTGAGCTGCACAGCAGAAAGAAAAAAGATGTGAACTTCTTTACCAAACAGCACCAAGACTGCAGTGGAGATCGCTGGAGTGTCCACCTGCTTCAAACATTAAAATAAATAGGATTGCTCTATAAAGTGCCTAGGCTTGCTCGAGGGGGTCCTACAGTAGGTTCTTCCCAAGAACTTCAAAGGAAAGGCATTTCATAGAAGTGGGATTGGGGGG